AGCTAAAGAAAATATTACTAAGAAAATCATAACAAAAAGAAAATACATTTACAGTACTGTAAAAGATCTGCATATAAGTGGACCTGCTCAGTCCAAACCTGTGTTGTTCAAGGGTCAACTGTACTCTCACATTTATCTAAAACTACGGTATCATCATCCTAGAACTCATAATAAATGATGTGTGGAACTTACGGGGCTTAAGCCTATAAGAATATAAGAAGTTGTGAGCTTCATCCCCAGATGTGCTCCGTATCATCACATTATTTAACCTTCCTAAGCTGCTACTTTCTCACTAGAAAAATCAACCTATAAAATGTTCTCACCTTTGTTAAAGAAACTCTAGTAATCATTGTTCAAAAGTATTCTAATAATTTTTCCTGGAAATGTAATTCTTTATTCTAAAGGGTTTCCAGAAACTGAAAGCAAATATGTAAACAGAACACATGAATCAAAATGTGAATAACTTCTTTTAATAAAAATTGAGTATGACATCAACAGATATAGAAGGGATTTATGCATTTAGTAGGAGGAGGTTGAACTGGATGACCTTTAAAGTTCTGCTTAACACTTAGATTCCTTAATTCACAAACATTTTATTGGGTCATCACTTTGTGCCAGACCTTGTGTGAAGTGGTAGAAATAAAATATAGTAACTTCAGTTAAGAAAAGAGCAATTAATTAAGTTTCTTCATGTTTTCTTCATGTACCATGCTGAAGGACAGCATCAACAGCTATGGGCTAAATGATGAAGACCCATCCATCTCGATGTCAAAATAAAATGCAGTTGAACATTTATTCTGTTCCTTACTTAGGATCTAAATCCCCAATTCATCATTTTTCTCCCTCGCAGAAATATTTAAAAACCATGTGCTTTCGTGGCAAAACTTTCAGGTTCAGGTCCGTTTTACGCCTTCATTTACCTATTTGTTCATTCAAGGAGGGGTTATGTTGAAATGTCTAACCTAAATAAAGCTTGCAGAGTAAGAGGGCATGGCATTAGATGGAGAAAAGCATCATGAGAAAGTCAGCAGCAGTTAAAGAAAGGAGAAACAAAAAAATTTTAAAGGTAAATATAAAATAAAAGTGGTTTTTAAAAAGTTCATTATTTATAAGAACATCTTCTACATTAGGGGCGTCTGGGTGGCTCAGTCGTTGAGCGTCTGCCTTCGGCTCAGGTCGTGATCCCAGCGTCCTGGGATCGAGCCCCGCATCGGGCTCCCTGCTCAGCGGGGAGCCTGCTTCTCCCTCTCCCACTCCCCCTGTTGGTGTTCCTTCTCTCGCTGTGTTTCTCTCTGTCAAATAAATAAAATCTTTAAAAAAAAAAAAAGAACATCTTTTACATTAAATAAGAAGTACAGTTTAAAAGTGAAAGAACCACAGGAAAAGAGTTAAAGAAAGGAGAAACTACAATAAAACAAAAAGTAAATTAAAAATAAAAACGTGTTTCAGAATTTATCTATTATTTCAGGAAAGGCTTCTAAACAAAGTGACATGGAAAGATGTAGGTAAACGCAAAGAAAAAGAAATTGGGAGTGATGACAATACTAACATTTGACAAGGTAGAATTAATTTCCAAAAGCATGAAATAAGTAAAAAACAAAAAAGGACATTATCTAATGAAATACTTGGAAATTAATAGTTAAAAGATGACTCACTAATTCCACATGAGGTCAGGGTTGTAGAAAAAAGAAAGATGACTCACCCTAACCCTCTAAAAAAGTAACTAATTCAAAATTAAGAAAGACCTTTCCAAAGCCCCTAGAACAAACAAAAGAAGGAAAAACTGAAAGGATAATTTTTTTGGCTTAGAAAAAAAGTGGAGGGTAAGAGGGAGAATACTTCACTGAAAAGCTATACTTTAAAGATGAGCAAAGTGATACAAGCACAGGAGAAAGCATATATATAGATTTGTTTTATTCAACAAAATTGGCATTTTGATTCCACTGGCAAAGAATACTTTAATAGCTGATCCCAGCATAACTGGCTATCCATCCACAAGAAAATAAAAGTAGACCTTCTCCATAACATGTTAAAATAAATTCTAGGTTAATTAAATATTTAAATGTAAAAGAAAAAAAAAACAATAGAAATACTTGAAGAAACTTTTAAAACTGATCTGTAGAATCCCGGGGTAGGTGAGATGTTCTCATGTAGGGCAGAAAACACTATGTAACTGAGCTCTGGCCTAAAGGAGGACACTGAATGACATAAATAAATATGTTAGAGATAGGGATCCACTGTTATTTTGGGGATAGAAACAAGAACTTTGAGGGCCCAGAGAAAAATTCCTGGTTCTGTGTCCTACGGTGGGCATTAGGGAGGGGTTCACAGAAGGAACACTATGGGGCTGCATCCTCAAGGATGAAGGGGACACTTCTAGGCTGTACATGTAAAGGCACAGACTCATTAAAGGATCTGGTATTCTGATACTAGTGCAAAATTCAGCGCAATCCAAATGCAGTGAATGACTGTAGACGTTGGAAAGGGACCAATTTGTGAAAGAGCTTATGTGCAAAGCTAGGAAGTTTTAATTCAACGTCAAGATGGGCCTTAAGCAGGAGAGAGACATGACTGCTTAATCTTTTAAAAGGCAACTTCCAGAGTGAGAAAGGATGTTCTGGTTAAGACTGCTAATTGCCTACCTCAACATGTATTCTGCTTCTCCTTATTAACAGAATCCTAATTTTAATTAGGATAGCCTTGTATTAACCTTGTATTGTCAAGGTGTCACAGCCTCTCCTGAAGCCAGGTATGTCCATGTGACTAAGCTGTGGCTGATGACACATAAGTAAAAGTGCTATATGCAACATTTCAGAAAGTACCTTAAAAGAGAGAAGATACTCCATTTCCCTTTTACCTTTCCTCTATCTTCCAGATTGCCACAGGACATGGTGTTTGATAAGACATGAGGTAAATTTGAAGATGAAAGACTTTTACTAGGATGCTGGCTTCCTGAAGACACTAAGAGGACATATTACTATAGACTTTTTTATGAACAAGAAATAAGTTTCTGTCTTATTTATGGCACATGCATCAAACCTCATCCCAACTGATAAAAATGAGTATCAATGTTACTGTAATGAGAAACTCCCACATTTAAGGAGTGGTTTAAGAAGGAACTGCCAGTTAAAAAGACCAAGAAAGGTGAGACCAATGAGAACGGTCTATCAAAAACCAAGAGAAAAATGCAGATTGAAGAGGTAGGGTGGGGACCAAAGCAGCAGATTTTAAAAAAGAAGCCAAGCAGGAGAAGGCCTGAATGCAGGACATTAAATGTAGAACTATGGAGTTCTTGTTGACTTCAAAAAGAGAAATTTCAAGACAGTAGTAACCGAGTGAAAATCAAGTTAAAGTGGGCTTCCATCGTGAATGAGAGTCAGAGAAGCTAAATTAATATTTAATTTCAGGGATAAGGGAAATAGAGCAACAGGTTAAAGGTAAAATGGAAAAAAAAAAGAGAGGTTTGGTGTCTTTTCTTGAAACTAAACTGTATCTCCGATGATCATGATCCTGTTAATATTAGCTTTTGTTTAGTAAATGAAAAGAGATTACCCACTCTTTGCCAAGAAACTCAAAGCCTTCAAAATAAATAGGAAACGAATGGCCTTTCACATTCAGAGTCACTTTCATTTGGGGACCCGATTCTGTCCATAATAGTGCGACACTAGAAAATACTTCCCACTCCCAACTCAAATTCTGTGGAGGCATATGTGTGAGCGCAAATGGGGCAGGCATAGAGATAACGTGGAACTCCCAGGTCTGAAATAAATGAAACTTCTTTTAATTCTGAAGAAGTTCTTATTTAATTATTCAAAGTTTTGGAGGTGTATTTGTATCAAGGATTCGACCTAAGCCTAAGGCAGATGCTTAACCGACTGAGCCACCCAGGCAAACCTATCAAGGATTTTTAATTGCACATAAGGAAATGCAAGAATGCTGGGGCTTCCTGTGTAACTCATTTGCAGGCCCTTGTGTTCACCTTCTGTCTGCTCCCCCGGATCTGGCCCCTATCCCTAAACTGCCTGCTTGCTTCCTTCTTTCTTTCTTTACTAGGATAAAGGATGCAGTTAAACAGGAGTAAAGACTACACGAATGAGAGCAATGTACCAGGAGCCCAGTGTGCTTGGAATATTTTAATACATTTTCAAGTGTAAATAGCAGGTAGTTCTCACTAGCAAGAAATATGAGTTAAAAATTGGGGGCCAGAGCCAAGGCTGCCAAGATCAAAGATGCAACATACATCAAATAAAATATTGACCATAGAAATATATTGAATTTATTAATTCAATATATAGTAGTAGTGTTTTTTGAATACTTGAAAATATTGAAAGGATTTTAAATGCATTTTTTCATGCCATGTGTTTTTGAAAGAAATTTGTTAGACTCTGGGGAAAAAATTAAGTGTGCATTACGGTCTTCATTGAAAAGCTTAAAGAACAGATTTCTATTTCTTTTAGGAAAGAGTGCTTCTCCTGCCTTCTTGGATTTGCTTGCTAACAGAAGAGATGAACGTACTTCATAATTTGTTAAGTTCCTCTATGAAGGCCAGCCATTGTTCTATTCAGTGATTTGTAACTTAAAATATTGGCACCAGGGGCACCTGGGTGGCTCAGTCGTTAAGCGTCTGCCTTCAGCTCAGGTCATGATCCCAGGGTCCTGGGATCGAGTCCCGCATTGAGCTCCCTGCTCAGCAGGAAGCCGGCTTCTCCCTCTCCCACTCCCCCTGCTTGTGTTCTCTCCCTTGCTGTCTCTTTCTCTGTCAAATAAATAAATAAAATCTTTTAAAAATATATATATTGGCTTCAACCCGTTCAAACAAAATGGGTGAAATAATTTTTTACTGTACAATGGCCTTATGATTTTGAATGGTATGGGGAGAGAAGTGCTCAGAACAAGACCCATAAGGGTTATAGAAGGAACATCCATCAGATTCCTTCTTCCTGATGTACTGAATGTTCCTTGGTGTAACCTTATAGAAATTTGAAAATCCACAGAGCTACTTTCAAGATAAAAAAAGACTCACATAACTTTATTCTTTAAAGCAGTAATGTCTCAGTTACATTTAGATACAGTACAAAGAATAATAAAATTACACCTGTAAATTTCTTAGTATATTGTAAAGAATCTTAATTTCTTTATCGTCCTTATCTTTTTTCTCCACTTCACTAAGCAAAGAAAACAGATTACTCTCCCTTCCACTCCTATTAGGTCACCAGGGGTCTGATTTTCATGCGAACAGTCCTGAGGGAATAATCTGCACCCCTGAAGGGGACCCAGACCACTCCATTCTCAATCTCATAAGGACTGTTGTTCCTTGGATCATAAGAGCCCCCAGGATAGTAGACGCCATTGAGATTGGCCGCTTGGCAGCTGTTGTACCACCAGCCTCCTCCATAGACTTCTGCGCAGTTCTCTTCCCACTGGTCTGCATCCCTGTCATAGGTGCTGAACTGCATGCCCGCGTGAGAAGTATACTCTGTTCCTTCCTCTGCAGAACCCTCAATCAGAGCATCACCTGCTGTGCCCTCATAGGAAGAGACCTGCAGGGTATAACCTTCTGCCTCAGAACCTACCCTCAAGTAATATTCTGCATGAGCCTGGTTTCCAGCCCAGTCCTCTAATTCAACCCGAAGGACAGAGCCCCTCAGAGTTAGTAAGTGGAGGTATTCATTGCCTAGCCAGAATTCTCCTTCCCCCTTGTCATCCAGGCTGCCGAAACCTTTCTTGTAGTCTTGCCAGGTCCGGTTAAAATTCAGTGATCCATCCATTCTTTGCTGGATCAAAAGCCATCCTCCCAAACTGGTCTCTTGATCACAATAAACAGAAAAAATCTTACTGGATCCCGGTAGCTTGATATTGAAAATACCACTTTGGGTACCTGAAGGATGTGTTTGGAGGACATCATCACAGTCTAAAAAAAAAATTAAGCTGGTTGGAAGAAGTTATTCTCATTTAACTTTACAAAGATAGGCATGGCCCAGATTAAATGAAGGCAGATACTGGCTTCCTTTTCCTTCTTTCCTTCCATCCTACCTTCCTTCCTTCCCTCCCTCCATGGGGAAAGAGTGCACTGACACTGGGATGAAACTTATGCACGTGAGTGGCATTTATACCCACAAATTGCATTGGCATTTATACCCACAAAAAGGGGATTTTCCTCAACGGATTTGAAATTTTACTTGCACGTACTGTTAACAGCAAGTAACCAGCAAAGATATCTAAGCATCATTTAGTGGTAATATAACTTGTTTTTAACCTGATCTCAATGTCAACTGAGACACACACTAAAAATACGATTAACAAATTGGGTGACAATTCCAAGAGCACACATTTTGAGTGATGAAAGAATTTGGTTAAACAAACTTAAAATCGAGTTTCAGAGGGATTCATTCATTCATTTAACACGTATTTATTGAGCGATGATTCTCTGCACTGCTAGGCATTTAGGAATACAGAGATGAACACGAGAGACAAAGTCCCCGCCCTCATGGAACTTACAGTCTAGTGCCCCAACACAAACAAGCAAAAGGTGTAATTTCTATAAAGTGTAATAGAGGGCTACGAAAGACGTTCAAGGTGCTGGGGAGGCATTGCAAGAATAATGAACTTAGTCTAGGGGGTCTGGGAAGGCTTCCCCAAAGGAGAAGTGTGGATACCTCTGGCAGAGCGAAATTTACCATGGCCTCTTTTGGTGGTATATCCTCCTTTGAGGGTTTCATGTTCCTCTTCAATTGCGGCCTCACCTGCCAATTTATGGCTCTTGCTTTCGTATGTGGAGTCTCCTCTGTTGTAAGTTGTACTACTGCTCGAAAATTGTTTGCTCTGACTTGAAGTTTTACCACCGAGAGAGAGCTCAGGTACCCTTAAGTGTGTGGATATGTCCGATTCTGAGCCCCCAGCGTGGATCCTACTGTCAAACTCTCTGTGCGAGGGTGAAAGCCTACCAGGAAATGTGCTTCCAGTTGAGGAACTGCTAAAGAAACTCTCCAGATCAGGGTGCCTAAAATGGAGATCATCTAGGCTACCAGCAAAAGTATGGGATAAGTCACCACAGTCAGAACCATCTTCGGAGTTTACCACTTCTCTGGTCGTTTCTTTCTGACCGTCAGGACCTATAATAGTCTTAGTAACTGTTTTAGTGCATGAATGACGAGTGGTGGTGGTGCTTTCAGAGGTGACCTTCTCATTACCAATAAGAAGCTCTTTATCTCCTTTAGACGTCACCAGCTTACCTGTGTGGTACTCTTTCTTTGTCCCTGGAGTTACACTTCCTGACACCTCTTCAAATTTGCCCCACTTTGGGTTGGTAGGCCTGGTGTTCCCATGCCCGAAGCTATCTGGCCTAAAGCTTCCAGACTCAGAACCTCCAGTGCTCCAAGACCCAGTACTGCCAGTCCCCGTGCTCCCAGAGCTCCAAGAGCTGCTGCTGACAGACTCAGAACTTCCAGTGCTCCAAAGGCCTGTACTGCCAGTCCCGGTGCTCCCAGAGCTCCAAGCGCCATCACTGCCAGGCCCAGTGCTCCCAG